AGCGGTTTACGCCGTTTCCAAGAGCAGTCCCACAGGGTGACCCCCACCTAAAGGCCGTGGGAGAGGGGTGGCAGGCACGACGAGGGGCAACAAGCCCCCTTCACGCCCCTGAGCTGGGGCAGGGAGGGGGCGCAGGGATGTGAGGAAGACGCTACCCAGCCACCCGTAGCATGCCTGGCCACTCGCACAGCAGCCACAGACCCTTCCAGAAGCCTCGGGACCTGTCCCAGGAAAGCGGGCCTTTCAGGTAGGCCAGTCCACACACGCCAGCTCCCCCTCCAGAAGCTGTGGAAGGAAGCCAAGCGCGGCCTCCGTCCACTTGGCCACACCGTCTGCAGTCCTGCGCCACCAGCGGGCACAGCCTCCCGGAGGAGTAGGGACCCCCCCACGCCCTCACCCCAGAGCTCAGGCGCCAGGCAGCATCAGGCTGGAGCTGGCACAGCCTCTACCTCAACCCAGGGGAACCAGAAGCAGCAAGCTGGGGCTTCACTGAGTCACCTCCGAAAGGGGACAGAGCCAAGGGGACCTCAGGACAGCCAGATGCTGCCCTAGCACCTCCAGGGCCCAGCAGCAGCCCTGCCTGAGTGGGACCCGGCCAGGGGTCAGCCAGGGACGTAGGCCCAGCAGGCGCGGAGGACCAGGCAGGCTCCCCGCTTGGGCACTCTGACCCCGCAATGGAGTACAGACGCCCCCCTGCGAACACGCAGCTCCAGAGCTGGGACCTGCTGGGCCTGGAAGCAGGGGCCATGCCAGCCTCGAGCCTGAGCCCTCCTGCCTGGCCAAGCAGCCCCAGGACTGGGCAGTGCCAGTCTCACACGGTGAACAGGCCAGAGCCCACCCTCAGGTGATTGCCAGCCCTAGGCCTGTCCTAGGACCCTGCGGCCAGAGAGTGTGAGGCATGCTGGGCAGGCACCCCACCACCAGGTGACACCTGCATGAGCTCGAGGCACTGACACCACCGGCTCGGACGCTGCTCTGGTCTTCCTTGATCCCAGCGCCCTGCCCGCATGCTGCCAGCCTGGCCGACACCTGTGCCCCTCGGCCCTGCCCGTGCCGGCCACGTGCGCACACACACAGCAGCCAGTTTGCATTCCTACAGTGCTGGACGGTCTAGGAAGCCAGAAGAGGCCCTGAGGATGTGCCCGTTCCTCACGCTGGCAAGATGGCCAGCTTGGCAGACACAGCTCAAAGGCCAGGTCCTCCTCCAAGCCCCTCCCACCTCAGGCGACCAGCCCTCACCTGCCGGCTGCACTCTGGGTCCCTCAGCAGCTCCGTTTCAGTGATAGACAGGTGGCCAAGACTGTGGTCGCCGTGACAGCCACGAGTGTATGAGTGGATCTGAAATGGGCAGCACAGAGCCCAGGCTGAGCAGGCAGACGCCTTGCCCAGCGCCGGACAGAGGCCTTCGGAGCCCACCCTACAGACGAAGGAACGGGGCTCACAGAGGGTCATGCCTCGCCGAGGCCATCCAGGGCAGACAGACCCAGCACCGCTGGGGGCCGGCCCAGGGCCTGCCATCGGCCCCTGCAGAGGGACGGGCACTGGGCAGTGTTCTCCATGGCATCCACATCCCGCCCGGCTCCCGGGGTACGGTGAGGGTGGACAGGGGCATCTCTGCTTCCTTCTCTCCTCAGTTCATAGAGTGCCCGGCCCACACGGCGGGGGAAAGGGGCTGTGGTCAGGGTCAGCGGGTCAGGGGTTTTTGCGGCATGACGCAGAGCGACCTGCCTGGGCCTGCGGGAGCAGAGGGCTCCCCAGCCAGGTGACGCCGGAAGGCAGCACGGAGGTTGACAGGTGGCCTTGTCCCACGCAGGAGGAGTGGCTGGAGCCAAGGCCGGACGAGAGGGAGTGAGGGATCCCAGTATAGGCCAGCCCAGTAAAAGACCCTCTGCCAGGGAGGGAGATGCAGGGTGGGGGGTCCCAGCACCAGAGAGCCTTGCACTAGAGACAGCCCGTGGTCACCTGCCCAGCCACCTCTCAGCCAAGACCTTTCACTGGGCCTGTGGAGGACACCTGTGTTAACCAGCTGGGCCTTATCAGCCCTTAGGAACCTCACAGGAGCTGCCCACCGCCCACCAGCCCATACCCAGGGTGTGGTGGAAGGAGGGGAGCCCATCTCACTGCGCAGTGACACAGAGCCTGAAACCTCCAGTGACTTCTGGGCACCGGACGGCCAAGCCCGCAGGCTCCCTGCCCCATTGGCTCCCTGCCAAACGGATGCCCAGCTCCACCTGTCCTGGGCCCCTCCTGGACCACCGGGAGCTCTGGGCTCTGGCTCCAAGCCATCCCAGGGCAGTGCCCAACCAGTCGGCCCCCAACCAGGCCTGGGAGGCCCACGACCCGCCAACCGCCAGGGCCCCAGCCCAGTCCGGGCCTCCATGCACAGGCCACAGTCAGCCTGGAGCGCAGGGTAACTGCCCCCTGGCGGACAATTCTCAGCGGCGCTACCTTGCCCAGGAGGGCGCACTGCTCCTGCTGACTGGCCATCAGGTTTCGCCACCGGAAACGCAGCTTTCCCATCAGCCACTGCAGTTGGCGCACGTCCACGCAGCCCACACAGCTGTCCGCTTCCACACGGGGTGCCGGGCGTCCAGGGCTGAGGGCCTCACACTGGAGAGGGACAAGGGTCGGTCCCTGCTCCCACATCGCAGCGGAGACCCCAGAAGGTGAAAGAGAAAGGAGGCCGCTAGGAGTGAGAGCCGTGGAGTCCCTAAGGGGCCAGAGCCTGTGGGCACACACCCACACTGCCCCAAAGTAGGGGCGGGGCCTGGGGGGCCAGGACAGGGAGGCCAGTATAGGCTGAGCCTTCGTGTCCTCACCACCGGCAGCCAGGATAGCAACACTGACCCCCACAGGGCTGTCTTCGAGGGTCTGGCAGGCGGCACCCAAGATCGCGGCCTCACCCCACACCCACCTCACACACAGGCATCTCATCGCCCAGCCGCACGCGGGTCTGGGCCAGCAGCCGCTCAAGCAGGGGCCCGCCGGCCAGGAGCCAGGAAAGGGCCAGGAGCAGCTCGCGGCTCCCCTGGGAGCCATCCTTGGGGAACTGAGCCAGCCGGGGGTAGCCCTGGGAGTGCAGCGCGGACTTCACCCAGCGGGCTTGGGCCTCTGGGAGTAGGAGATAGCCAACTCAGGGGGCCGCACATTGGAAGTGACACCTAGACCCTTAAGGGACCCCGGCAAGGCCCCCTAGTAGAGCCCCAGGGGCGTTGAAACTTAACCGGGATGAGGAGACAGGGCTACCTGGGGGCGGGGCTCGGGGAGGTGGGCGGGGACAGGGCCTAAGGGGAGTGAAACTTACCTTGGGGCGGGGCCAACAGGGCCGGGTTTGTGTCGGAGTGGGCGGGGCCAGCGACTGAGTGGGCGGGGAATAGCCCGCCAGGGGTGGGGCTTAGAGGGGAGGTGGGGCTCACCCAGGTTGAGCGAAGTGGAGGCGCCGTCAGCCCGCAGCTGCGAGAGCACGGAGACGAGCAGCTGCCAAAGCGCCGGGGCCTGCAGGGAGCAGAGGGCGGCGGTCAGCGTG